CTTTCTAGTCACAATGTAGAGACTTCCTCAAAAAACAGAGGTGGTAAGATTGTACAAATTTATCCCTCCCAAGTATTAATTAATGTAACATTAAATTTTCATAACTTGTCAACATGGAAATGTTGAGCTTTGACAAGGGAGACCTACTAAGTTTGAGGGTTTAAAAGACTGTACATGGTAATATTCTTGTCTGAATGGTAGCTGTGAAGGGCAGCATTAAGGTTTTGCAGCACCATGTTACACCAGAACAAGGGCATGAGTTAGGAAGCAAAATTTATCAATTAATGTAGTTTTTCCACTTGCTCACTTACCAGAAGATATAGTCTTTCCTGTTATCTTATCAGCCCATCCAGCATAGTATCTGAAGCATTTCACAGTAAATTCCATGTCATCTACTGAATCAGCAAATAATTTTCCACTGTCAATAGTCTCCAGGGACTATAAATAAATGAATGACAAATTCAAAATGTATATGCCTCAATTCAATATCAAATAAAGCACTATTAATAATGTTATTAACTTCCTTTACAGAGAAGCAGAACCTATAAAATTATTTTGCCCTGCTCCCAACATGTGGCTTCATAGCTGAGTTGGTAGTATCACACCCAACTACTATATGGGAGGCACAGGTTTAAATTCTGTCAAAGCCTGATTTCTTTCCACATTATTTCTGCAATTTCTAAAATTGCAGTCCACCTGCCAGGTTCATTTCTTTTCTTATTTACTGAAAAGTCATATCTGGCCCTCCCTCCTAAGGATCGTTAGTTTGCAAATTACTTAGTAATAGTTTCCAGCATAGTGACAAATTAGCATCCAATCAAGGGTAAGTGAAGCTGCACTCTCATTTAAAGCTCGATCATACTATTTAAACTGATGTATGCTCCATTCTTATGGCTACTGAGTCCCTTAACTTTATAAAAGGCTATTACAGAAAGATGATGTTATTCAGTGAATAACACCTAGGCATACTCGCAGAAAAAGAACTGTGAGCGCTCCTAATAGAGGTCGAACATATGACCTTCCGACTAGCACTTTAGATGCTCCACCAGTGAGCTATAGCAGATTTGTAGTAGGCTAGGCTGTTTAACCAGGTCCATTGTGACAAACTTCCTACATACTAGGATGGGAAAGTCAATATGTGATGCTTAAGTGCAATGATGATGTAATTGAGGATGGTGAATTTTAAGCCTGGTGTTTAAGTGAAAAAAGCTGTTATTTTAATTAGTGATTTACAGAAGACTGTTGGCAGGCTAAGCCATTTAACTAGGTCCATGATGACAAACTTCTTGCATACTGCTAGCCTAATAATGTACCACAATGACAGATACTGCTCAGTGTTATTATTTTACTTACAGCTAAATAGTCCAAGTCTCTCTCAATAAGGTCAGCTACTTTGTATAAGAGTTGGCCTCTCTTAGAAGCATCCATGGTCCTCCAAGGACTGCCAAGTTTAAAGGCTTCAGTAGCAGCTTTGACTGCTTTATCAACATCAGCCTGAATCATTTAAATATACCAGTTAAGGATGTACCTGAGGTATACCTTTAATTACAAGATGTACATGTAACCCAGGAGTCTGTATGAAAATTGGATTTGGTACATATATACATGTCATTTTTCATTAGAGTCCCAGATTCAGAGCCACAAAACATGATCTACCTTTATACATTCAATAAAACATTAGTAAAGTTGAGCTTGTTCCTTAACTCCCAAGTTTAGAAATTCTCAATTTTCTCTTACAGCTGCTAAACATTTCCTACCGCAGTGGTCAAGAATATTTTTCAACTGAAGATATCCCCTGGTTATGAGATAGTGTAAATAATAAATTGTAACCATAAGGTTAAGCTATAATTTGATGTGAATCACTTCTGGGATTGATAAAGCATTATTAACCAAGCATGACTGCACTTCGCTGATAGGCCAGTTAAATTCTCATTTCTCCCTTCTGACCATTTCCATTGTCTTAAGACTACATTGTGCCTTTGTTGTTGACAACACCAGCCAAAAATAAACTCTTCTTATCACAATAGACAGTTTCCTGCAAGTTGAGGAGAATGTAAAATAGTAACGAACACTTTTTCAATTTCACAGGATCAAAGTGGATGATTTTGTTCCATCACCTCAGCCAATCAAAACACAATTTGCTTTCTCTTTCCATTTAGAAAGCCACATATTAAAAAATGGGATTCATCTAAGACATGCTTGAATACTGACTCCTGTGTAATTTACCAGTCAGAGAACTTATGGCAACATCTCTGAGCTTATTTGCTTACCTTGTCACCCTCAACCACCTCACATATCTTTTCCTCTGTCACTGGATTGAGAGTCAGAAAAGTTTTCCCACTGACTGAGTCCACATACTCATTATTGATAAAAAGCTGTAAGAAAAAAAAAAGTACCTCATCATACATTATCATCCCATGATTGGTCATAACAGTACAGAAAACAATAATTTCCAGAATATAACTTTTCCATGTTGTTTATTATTTAATCACTGAAATGTGTGCTCAAACATATTCAATCCAATCTGTATCCCCTTACCCCACCACTCTCCCTCTTCACACCCCACCCCCACCCCCTCCCCCTCAAAATAGATCACAACTGAAACAAACATTTCTAAATTGTGAATTACAAATAATACAATATATAATCCTGCCATTTCACACACAAAAAAAGTGGCAGTAATGCATGCAAATGATCAAATAGAAATAAAAAATATACATATTAGCATATTCAGTGGTTGTCTTGCTACTTATTGACCCTGACATGGCTCAACAAGAGGCTCCATTTTTCATGTACAACACCCCACCCCCCACCTTCTCTTCACTAGAGATGACAGAAACCCAGACTCTTAATTTTTTCCAAGGCCCTTTAATAGTCAAATTCAAAGAATCAATGTTTTTTGATGACACCTCAGTAAAAAGTGTCCAAATCGTTCTACTTGACTCCCATAAGAGGATACAAATGGAAAAACAAAACCCAACAAAAAAAGATGAGAGGGAATGTTGGAGGGCTAGTCAAAAATTCCAATAACAGTTAATTATTTTCGTGTCAAGTATTCTGATCTGTCCCAGACTGGCTATATATAATTATATGCATACAATAAATAGTACATTCTACATATGTATAAATCAAATGGATGAAATTCATAAAAATCAAATGAACAATTTAGATGAGAAATATAACGCATATATGTATGAATAATTGAATAAGCTAAAGCATTCTCCTCTTCAAAAGGTGATTACGTGGTGCGGTTATAAATTCAAAATTATCCTCTTTGTCATCGACACTGCCAGAACCCCTGTTCCAGTGCTTTAATAAACGCTATTTGCATCCTAGGTGCAATTTGAATGTGGTCTTAAAAATTTCTTAGAGTCATCACTCCTCAAAGTAGGAGATAGAGGAGTAATATATATATCTCTCACTGTGCTGCAAATATTCGTTATTTCTTCTCAGGCGAAGCAAGGTTGGCATAAGATCTTTGGGAGGCAATGTTTTGATGTTTTCCAGACTTCCACGCGTCTCCGCTCATTTTTAACCATAAATCGACGCAAACAAATCGCTTATGCTTTGATTTACCTTTTTGAACTTGATTTCTGGATTCCTTATGGGTTTAGGCATCTTATTAATGGCAAAGTGACAAGATAGTCCTCATAGACGCGTTGAAGACGACCCACGGAGAACACCAGATAAGGCGTTCAGAATACAGAGGAACATAAATGTTGAAAGTTAAGCATGCGCACAGGGATCAATTTTGGTCTGCTGACGCGCCGGTTTCCCGCGCAAAATTTCAGAGGAAAACAGAGGTCACGCAAAGAATGCGAAAAAAGATTGAACGTTCACAGAAATCTTTAGTCTAGAACCGAATATGCGTGTTGTTAACAAGGTACAAGGGAAACAACAGCAGAATTTTATTTGTATTTTACTTGGTTTTGATCGCGGTCACGGACGAAGGGTACAAATCGTCTGACTGAGTTTGAATTGACTGAGTACGAAACGCCCTCTGCTGTGGAACGACTTAACACCAACAAAGAGAGTAGGGACGGGTAGCGGAAACGAGGAGGAGGAGGTGGAGAGGTTATAGCATAATTCTCCATGTCTAGTATGATTTTACGAAAATGCATAAAAATCAACCATGGACTGTTGCGATCTGACATCTGGATGAGTACATTTAAGAAATAATAAGAAATTCAAATATTCGATCTACGTAATAAAGAGATTACAAACAAGAAAAAGATTTCCGCGGGTTGGTCACCTCTTTCTGTACAAGTGACCGTGTGCTTGCGTGGCTGGTGGGTTTGCTTGCCCTCAAAAGCGTCCAATAGTAGAGTTATGAAATCGGCGATGTGCTCAGGGGGCACCAAGTAACTTCGCGCCGACATGTCAACTCACCGACACCTTCGATCACCTCATCGAGAGCCGTGTTTGGTCCTTGATGACAAATCGAGCAACAAAGATTAGTTTTGACGAGTTGGTCAAAGTTGTCCGCGAGTAGATCGGTGGTTTTGGTGAGTTGGCCAAAGGTGTCGAGTTGGCTAATGGTGTAGGCGAGTTGGCTAACAGTGTAGGCGAGTTGGCTAATGGTGTAGGCGAGTTTGCTAATGGTGTAGGCGAGTTGACAAATGGTGTAGGCGAGTTGGCTAACAGTGTAGGCGAGTTGGCTAATGGTGTAGGCGAGTTTGCTAATGGTGTAGGCGAGTTGGCAAATGGTGTAGGTGAGTTGGCAAATGGTGTAGGCGAGTTGGCAAATGGTGTAGGCGAGTTAAAATGTCAGCGAAATGACCGGTAGCCGCTCAGGGTCAAGTGTCGTCAATCCCACGAGAGACGTGGATAAGACATATCTAGAACAGCGTCGACTAAAAAATTTTGTATTCGCTCGTAAAGAGGTGGGTGGGGGGAGAGATTAGTCGTTCTTATGAAGTCCCTACCCAAATGGATAAAGTAGTAGTCGAAAAATGGAGTCCCTCCCCTGCCAAAACAATAATAATGTTCAGAGAAGGAAACAGCGTCAAATTTGGCCTTTAACAACAAATGTGAGAAAAAAAAAAAACATCAAAAACAACATCAGAATAACACAAAACAGAGGGAAAAGAGAACCTTATCATAATTATCAATTCATAATTCTATCACACTGATTCTGGCAAGTACAAAATAATTTAAAATTCTTCCAAAGCATATTAAGTGATCCCTTTGTCGGGTGATTGACCTCAATTCTCTCTTTACTTTTATATACGGTCATAAATTTTTTCTAATTTTCATCTGTTGAGTCCGTCTGACGGAAGCTAGGAATTCTTTGATGTTACTTTCATAGTAACCTGTAAGAAATAAAAGCAACATCAATGTGACCATAATTACGATTCTAACCTACTTCAAGGTTCGTATTCTTTGGGGAACAGTCATTATTTATCACTTAAGGGAGGGGGGGTCCGGAGGATTTTAGGCGATCACATGATTTTGAGGCGGATGGGGGGAGGCAGTTGTTTCTGACAGAGTTTAAAGGGGGGACTATAGACGATTGACTGCCAATGAGGAGGTATCGTTAGATAACGACTCTAGCGTTATGGGGGGATCAGCTAAATGTTACTGTGACACAACCAAAATCCCCCTACCCCTTCCCCCAGCGATAAATAGTTACCGATCTTTAGAAGTGCCCAAATTCCACAACTTTTCAGTAACTTTTTCGAGACTTTTCTAAACATTTTTCAACCTACGGTCGAGAAGTTGGTTTTGACGTGACATGAAAACAACATGACAGGGTTCTCTGTACCCAAATAGTAGAGTATAAGACCGCGAAATCTGAAGGACAGCAGTTTGATTCTTCGGGTTGACACATTTTTTTTTTGTGCTTCACTTGTAACAAAACAACTAACACCTTTCTTTATTTTATGATCACCCTCAAAATTAACCCTTTAACTCCCATGAGTGACCAAGGGAGAATTCCTACATATAATATTAGTACAATATCAAGCAGACAAAGAATAAAAATATAAATATAAATATACATGAGAATAAAGAATATCAACTAGGGGATTATTAATTCTCTAATTCTCCAAACTAACATCATAGGAATTGTACGGCAGATAGCCTATCTTCCTATTTTAGCGATAAAAATACTCAGGCATTGGCTTTTCTACAGTGCAGCTTACCGTTTTTACTTCCAGGTAGGGTAGGAGGCCATATTCACCCCTGCAAAAGTTTAATTTAGTTAAACGAAATTTAACGAACTAAGTGAATCACCAAGACTCAGCTGAGCAGGCGTTCTAAGTCACAAGCACAAGCTCAAGTGTCAGGCAAAGATTACGTTGCGGAGTGATCTCGCCAGGTGTTCAAAGACAGTGCTCATAGTGGTTGGCGAGAGTACTTGGGTCAATTTCATCCAGGTACGTGCCGCTGGCCTCTCTGAGAACCCCTAACCCGTTAAGGTCTATTCTGTAGCCAATAATAGACCCCGATTTAACTCTATTGAAAACACAAACCCATTAAAGTCAATCCAGTCGTGATAATACGGCCCCATCCAGCGGCACTTCGTCCATTAGCGGCCTATTGCTAGGAAGAACCCCCCTCCCCTGTCTTCAGCTCTGAGAAGTTTGAAGCGATTTTTTTAGGCGTTTTCCCACCACATCCACCCTCATATTCTTCCTTCTACTGATCTGGTCAATATTAAAGGGTGCCTGGAATGGGGCCCATGGCTAATGGACCAATACTCATGGTCTTAAAA